AAATACACTTGTGAAACTTCTTCCACGCCAAATTCTTTCCTTCGACTGAAGATAGCAGTTCCGGAGTAAAAGATAATTAATTCCACTCTGCGATACTTTCTTTTGCCTTTTTTGTTGATAAACTGTTCATCCTTGTCCAACTGTATCTTCTGTATCTTATCGTCAATGCCCATCATCCAAGTTCAAACCAAGACTGAAGCTGTATTTCGCAATATTTCGTTCTAGCAGTGTAGAATCCGTTAAAAAAAATGTATAACTGACCGTTACTGTAAAGTTTAAATAGTACATCAACTCCCATGACGCATAAAATGAGTATAGTCACTTCTGGCTGGGCTTATTACTGATAATTGTCCAAAATCAGCTGCCTCAATTAGTTCTTTGGCGGCACGTATTCTAATTGAATGAATCTTTATATTTTCCGACGACGAAAACATCATCGTATTTCATGTGTGATTGTCACAACTCAAATTCTTTAATATGACAGACATCTTGGAGGTTATGTTATTACTCTTTGTCGCTTTCAGGAACTACGGAAGCGCAGACAGGCTTTGATTGAAATTCCGACTTCAAAACTCGAAATTGCGACTTCAATATCGAAATTTCCAGAGTGACATACGAGTTGAATTTTTCTAACCAAGAATGTCAAAATTAAAGTCGAAATTTTGAAATAAATTCTAAAATGAAATCGAAATTTTGACTTTAAATTCATAATTTCGAGGTTCTAGTAAAAATTTCGAGTTTTGAATCGAAATTTCGGAAGTAAAGTAGTAATTTCGAGATAAAAGTCGAAATTTTTAAATTAAAATCGCAATTTAGAGATTGAAGTCGAAATTTTGACTTTCAAGTTGTTATTTCGAGATTAAAGTAGAAATTTGGAAATTGGAGTTGAAATTTAGAGATGAGAGTTGAATTTTATGAACTATAAATTTCGAAATTGAAGTCGAAACTTGGAGTTTTGGGTCGAAATTTCGAAATTANAGGTTCTACCGGTGAAAAAATCATCGAAATACTTGATACGGTGATTTGTACGGACGGACGTTGTTGTGCAGCAGAATCAGATGTTTTTACCCATCAAAAAACGTCCAATTCTTCCGCCATCTCACGCACTGTTGAATGGGATCAATCTCCACCAGGGTCCTCAAATATTCAGCTTGATTATTTTAGATCAACCACTTCATGCCTCATATTCGAGGCTGAAATCTCCAGAACGAATTTTCGCAAACCAACGTCGAACAGTTTGTTCATTAACACTATCATCAATGTATATAGAGTACGAAATTTTCTATGAATCAATATATACCACGACACTGTAGAATATAGAGAGCTACAAAAATGCATTATATTAAAACTGACAAAACTTTTGAATCAACCTGTAGTTAAACTTACAACTTCGCTATTTTCGTTGATAATGTCGGTTATTATAAATATGTAGTACGTTATTTTACGTAGATATCATTCAAATTTTTTGTAGACTTATATTATTAAAATTCCTGAAGAGATATCAAATTAAACTTCTACCCATATTATTCTCTGATAATATAGCTCTCTATATTTGAAATGATTTTTGAAATCGGTTGAAAAGTTTTAATTTTCACTTACTACAAACAAACATATAAAAAATCAAATATTTTCTCTNCACAGGTAACTGTAATTGGGACTACATCAATCAATTCACCTAAAACTCTACAATTCTCATATACCTGAGGTACCTTTTCAATTATGATTACCTGAAGCATATTACCTCACTTATTCTACATCAACAATAGTACTTGCTCGGTTTCTTAAGAAAACAAGTTCAATAATGGTGATCAATTCAAATCCAGTTGGTCATTCATTAGAATGTTTGAACTTTCAAGTTTATCAATTTTCATATAATTCAGTTTCAAACCTTTATTTTCTATATGTAAAATGAAATGAGTATGTTGAATTTGTTTTCTTGATTAAACAGCTCGTATGATGTTCCTGAATTCGATTCCTAAATGTTCTGCCAGTTTGACCAATATATACCTTACCTCACGTTCCATACTTTAATTAATATACTCCTGATTTCTCGAATTTGGATGTTTTGTCTTTATTATTTTTTAGCTAAATTTCCCAATGTATTACTTGTTCTATATGCAATTTTAATATCTCGTTTCCTCAAAAAAGAAGCCACTTTTTCCGTTGTTTGTCCAAAATAAGTTGAAGCTCTATAATTTTGATTTTGATTATCTAACTTATCAAAAGAAAAAACGTCTCGCTTTTACGTAGACTCTTTTGAATAGTATTTAGTTTATTAAGTCGGCTTTAAACCCATTGTTTACTGCAATTTGCTTGATGATATTAAGTTCTTTATTGAAATTATCTATTGAGAGAGAAACATTGACTAATCTGTGATTCATGCTATTATAAGCTGCTACTTTGTGTTAATATAGATGGGTAGAATCCTAATGTATAGTAATATCCATATATAGGACGGTTTGTGATATTGAACAATCATATTTGTTGTTCATTCTACTAATTGTTATGTCCAAGAAATTGATTGAGTTGTCTGCTTCTACTTCGATAGTGAATTTAATATTTTAATGAATTTTGTTAATATCCCGATGAAAAGTATCTAATTGTCTCTTAGTAGGTAGGTACCTGTGAAGACAGGAAGACAGGATATAAGTTGTTATTTTTAGTGATAAGCAAATCATTTAGCTTTGATTAGATACGCATTATTGAGTCCAGTGGCAGCTTGGGACACAGTTTAGCCAGCAATAATGACCAAAATGTACGCCACTGATAATTTTGTAGGAAAAAAAGGTTTTGGCTTTTAACTTCTCCATCTTGTTACAAAAAAAAGTGGGAAGTTTCCAAAGAAAGGAAGGAAGGAATCAATTTAATTTCGTGTTGTGTAAAACATCTAAAAATGAAACTTTTTTCTTACTCTCTCATTCATTTCCGTGGTTGGCTTAGTTACAAGAATAAAATGAAAAATAAAAACTCATTGAACTTATTATTAATATGATGATTTTTCATCATATTACCACCAATGTTTGAGGAAGAAATGAGAAGATGATATGTCGAGGAAGAAATGTTGATTTAAACAGTTCATGTTTTTAATAATCAGTATAATTCCATTCAGAATGGGCTCTGGTATTTCAATAAATCCAGGTATCAACATCCTATCTAGGTGTCATTTCCTTCAAAATTATTCGAAATACGTACCGACTTACAGCGGAATATCTGAAGATGAGATAACATTTAAATGAAAAATGAAAATGTTGGAATGTAAAATTCCACTGTTAAATTTATGATGATGTGTAAAATTCTGCTGTTAAATTTATGGTTATGTGTAAAATTCTGCTGTTAAATTTATGGTAATTTGTAAAATTCTGCTGTTGAATTTATGATTATGTGTAAAATTCCGCTGTTGAATTTATGGTAATGTGTACCCAATGTTTTTCTCAAAAAGGTTCACTTATGATTTATGTATATATTCAATGGAATGACAATCAATTATCGTTTCTGAATTGTATTGATTCATAACTTTTTTTATTTTCAACCTCACAAAGAATATTGACCCTCACCTTTGTCACTGACATACCTATCATTTTTGGGCGGAAAAAATATCACATACTGCTTTCTACTGAAAAATGCATTTTACTTGTGATGTTTTTTGGTGCCTAATCACAATTACCCGCTCCAAAAAACGTCAATAGTAACATTGACAGTAGCTAATAATAATTTTGACAAGCGTATCGACAATCTAGGATTTCGTGTTGAGCCGCGACTTGATTTCGAAGATTCCGTCCAAAAACGCAGCTGAAGGGCCAGAAATGCATTACTACTCGATTATTTTTTTGTTTTCTGCATCTCAATGAGCGTAAAATGATACTAGTTTGTCAACAAAGTCACAGGTTAAATCAACTTGTATAGGTACCTCTACCTACTGCGATCATGGAATTTTGCTGCCTGCAAAACTTTGAGAATCCTTTTTTATCAATTAATTTGAAAACCATATCAAGAGCTGTACGTTTTCTATGTAAAGCAAAACCACGAGATTCTTGCAGACTAGTATTTAAGGAAAAGAAAATCCTCACTGTAATATCCATTTTTATTATTGAAACTATATGCCTCATAGCAAAACATCAAAATCGATTTTCAATTATCACAAACGCCACTCGACAAAGAAACGACTTTAATTTGCCCATTCCAAAATTTTCCTTCATTAAAGACTCTTTCATTCCTAATGGCTTGAAAATGTTCAATCACCTACCATTAAATCTGAAATTTGCATGCAATAACGTAAACTTTAGGGAAGTTTTGAAGGATTTTTTTGTGAGAGAGCCTATAATAATTTATCAGAGTACCTACTAGGTATCAAGATATTTTTTAATTCGACTTGTGACTGACTCGTTTTATGTAAACAATATTGAAAATTTTCCAAATAAACCCTTATTGGCTATATTTGTGCAAGTGATGTATTGTGCTATATAAATACTAATTGTTTTTGTTTTTGTTATATTTTCGTTCTTTGTACATATGTTCAATAACTACCTGAAATTTTATTCAACAACTACCTGCCAATTTATATTTTATAGTGTATAGTTTTCGAGAACATTACTCCAATAATTATAACTTGACAAGTAGAGATAGCTACAATGTGTGAATTTGTTTGTCGAATTATTTCAACAAAGCTTTGTCAATAAGACGTTCATCTTCAGACAATAAAGCATATTTTGACTTTGACTTTCAATGTGGCGGTTCATATCACCTGCCTGTGACATATTTATGTCACAACTAAAGCGTTGGAATATCATAATGACAAATGTTCCGCCGTTGTCTACATAAAATGGTTGATTACATTCAATTTCCAATTTTAATATTCGGTTTTGAATATAAAACCACAAATTTTCGTCTATCTGAAAACATTTGGTTTTCACTATTTTCTGGATACAGATTTCAGATTTCATCTTCACTTCTTCCGATAATCTCATAGTGAACTTACAAACTAATCAATCATCAATTCTTACCTTCTCGTCCTTTTGGTGTTACGATGGTGAAGGCGCTACTGCCAGGACTCGAAGCCACACAGTCTGAAACATTCAACTCAGAGCTACCAGAATCGTCTCTGTGTGACCCACTGCTAAAGTCTAACGGCAAAGCTGAATGCGAACTCAGTTCCAAAGCCATGTTAACAACAAAAAAAACTCAGAAAAAGTGCGAACTGTATTTTTTTGAAACAATTTTTCCCGCCGTACGCCGCATATTTTTCAAAACTCTAAAAACCGGAGCAAATTTCATTTCCCAAGCTGGTCGAACAGTTTCTCATTTTCACAAAATCACAGTGAAACGGAAAATCTACAATCAACTATCGACTAGATTTCAAACAGACTAGCACTGATGTTTACCAAAATTCACCCGAGAGTCAACTGATACCGAAATGCAGAGAATGATAAGCTTGGGCAGAGAACAAAGAGGCGGTTCTCCAGCTCCAATCGCGAGAGATTTTGGCCCTTACCGCCGTGTTGCTTACGGAGAAGAGGAGGGGCTAGGGATTCGCGACACGCCCACAACTACGATTGAATTAATGAATGGCACTGTAAACAGTTTATCTGAGGATTTCGACTTTAATCGCTGACTTCGATTAAGTGTGATTTGGAAAAAATAACCATCGAAATGGGCCTTGTTATAAAAATGATTATGATGAAATGAAGGGTTCTGATCCAATACAGGGCGATGTGAAATAGACGTCGGTTGCCTTTGAGTGTGTCGAATTTTTCGGCTTCAGGTGATTCTTTGTGTTTTGGCTTCTTGGTAGGTAACGAACGGACAATTTTTTTAAATCAATTCAGGATCGAATTCTATTTCTTCAATAGATCTGACAATAACGGAAAAATACAATTTGGATAACACGCAAAACATAAACATACGATAGTAAGAACAAGTATGTACAAAAATTTTGAGCACTTGACGTCGCAAACAAAAGTTTTACCCGAGTATCAACAAAAAACATCACAAGTTTTATCACAAACCAATGCGAAATCAATAACTTCTCCTAGATGTAATAGGTTTATATATGGTGAGCACGTTCATCCCCATAGACTTTCAATAAGCCACAAAGTAATTGAAACTAAGTATTTGAACAAATTGAAAGGGTAATTTTTTAGTTTTTTTTGGAATAAAGGTGCTGTTTCTCCACTTCTCCATTTTTATACAAAAAACTGTGGGAATCTTTCAAAGAAAGGAAGGAAGCAATTATAACCCGCCATGGTTATGAAACGACGCAAGATTTCTGTTTAGTTGCTGTGAAACTCTGGTCGACCACTGCGATACTCGTCTTGGCAGCTCATAGGTACGTCCTCGTTTAAAGTCGGCTAACCAATAGGTATATTTTGTACCTATTATACCGAAACTAGAATTTGGTGCAATAATTTGGCGTGGAGAATACCAGACCACATTATTCTTGCCAGCAAAAATTCAAAACAAATTTCTAAGATACCTATATTATAAAGAGCATCATGTATATCCTGATTATAATGTAGTTAGAAATACCCATATAGACTTGAATTCAAAATTCTATCCTTGGAAGACCGAAGAGTGCTTAACATTTTGCTGTTTCTGTTTCAAATTATTAATAATAAAACCAATTCACCAACTTTACTTTCTTTACTGCGATTTAATGTGCCTCAAAGGAGAATGCGCTCTTCTGTTACATTTAATATCCCTGTTTTACATAGAACTACTAGAGCTCCTCTCACAACCATGTGTCGACTAGCATTATTATAACACACGCATTGAACTGGATTGGTCAATAACTCAAAATATGTTCAGAAACATTATAATCAAACAAATCATTAATTTATCATCATAATGAAGCTGGCTGTGCTATTATCAATACTCAAACTGAACATTTTATCTTCTAGTTTGTTCTTTTATGCGGTTAGAACGCCTTAGTGCAGGTACTGCAGGTGAATTTGCCTTTATTTGGGTTACGTCAGGTAATATCCTTTGTATTGGATTTTCTCTAGGTTCAGTGTATCTAGGAATGTGTTTTGTATTTTGTATTTTGATTTGTATTAGTTTCTCGAGGAGTGAATTATGATTTTCAATTTATGGATGTTAAATTCTATATTGGCCAAACCAAGAAAAAACTGATCTAAAGGTACGACGAGCACAAAAAGACATACATATACTCAATAAGATACAAATCAAACCTCACAACACACGCCATACAAAACAAACATAACTTTCCCCCACCAGAGAACATAAAACTCACAAAACAAGTCAATAAAGGAAACCGTATGGACATCTGGGAAAATTTAAACATCCATAAATTTAAAAGTCATAATTCACTTATCGAGGAACAAATACAAATCAAAACACTGTTTAGATACGAATAAATAAATAAATAATTCACTTGTTAACAAAGGAGTAGAATCACTCAGAGTAGAATCTAGTTCAGCTTCTATATTGGTTGGGCTGAAGCCTTTCAAATAAAAGTAAACACATAACGATGACCAATTCTCTCCATTTTCACAAATTCATTGAAAACGTTCGCTATTGATGACTGTCAACCAAATACTAAAGGACGCAGCGTCTTCAAACTCGAAACATATGCTTTATAAATTATGTACTTCCTAAAATACAATGATATTTTTCAAACAACTACCGCCATCTCTATGTCAGCCGAATACTTCTGGGACCACAAAATAAAAGAAGTTGAGTAAATGGAAAGGTGTAGGTATATTTTTAGTTTTTTGAAAAAAAAGTGTTGGCATTGCAAACCTATTCGTGGTTCTGTCTCAGAAAATGCAAACTTTCTGCAGTTATCTCACTATAGCTCTTATTGTAGCAAAAAATCAACACATTTCTCACCTATCCATATAGAATGTGCGGGCTCGTCTCTCATAGTTTATTACACCCTGTGTAATATTTTCAGCTAGAGTCATAACATGGGGAAGACCATTTGTGGGAAAGAAAGAGGACTTTTTATTCAATTTGTGCCTGAAAGTCATTACTTCGAATGATCTACCCTCAAAATATATTTTGAAATGAACTGCTTTCTTCCATTCTTTGGAGTATTTCCACATGTTTTTTGTATAAACTTGGAGAAGCAGAAAGCCAAAATCTGTATTTCCTAAAAATCAATCCCTCCTAAAAATATACCCCCATCAATTCAAACAAAACCATGTTTCTTTCGATACACTTCGTCACCGTTGAATGGAAAAGATGAAGCACTCCCACGAAATGGTTTTGCAGCATCCTCGAACTTGAACGAGCTTTGTGTAAGTTTTGAAACAAACTGTAAAGAATCGTTTACTATGTTATCATTTTCCTCTCCAGACAAATTGGGAACTGCGGAGATGTCAACAGCGTGAATATTTAGATATTTCTCTTAGAAGAAAGTGGTTTCTGTCTACTGATTACGATTCAATTCTGGTTCATGTTTGAAGGATGATATGACTGATGACTTCAATACTAATCGAAAAAATATATACATCATTGTCGAATAGGGCTTGTATACAATGTTCTTCCAATTCGATATCTGAACTTCGGAATAACCAATGTTTTTTAATCCAATTCTTCTATGTGAAAGATCTATTTCAGTTTGTTAAAAATTATTGTGTTCATTGAGTTCAATGTGACAATAATGAGTTTGTAGGTTAAAAACCCACAAAACAATAAAAAACATTGACTCTACACTCTTATATATGTATCATGCATTCCTGCTCTCGATCATTTTGTGTTACTCATTCAAATAGGTCCTCAAGGAACTCATCCTCAAGTATTTTTTTGAATGTTGAAAATTTATGGTATATAGCCAATTCTTCCACAATATCTGAACTTATTCTCTTCTCTCTCTTCAACATCCATTGTTTCGACCAAGCTCATCAAGGTCATAGTGACAATTCAAATCCAATATTAATTATTCATTAATTTCATGATATCATCCAATTCAATATTAGAGTTTCAAACACCTATTGAAACTTTCAAGTGAACCGTATTCCTGGTTTTACTGATATGCTTGAAGTGTTTTCTATCGCAGTGTAACTAAGTTGGTCTACACTGACAAGTGTTGAAAAGTGAAAAATACAGTATGACTGGAAGTTTCTGTAGATGGCGCCTTTGTCTCCGCAAATCAAGAGCTAGTTAGCAAAACTGTGATAATCCCCTTCACCAGGAGGAGAAAATTGTACGATCTAATGTCAGTTTCCCTCAACGGTGAGGTCATTCCATTTGGAACGGAGGTAAAATATCTTGGCATTGTCCTTGATAAAAAACTTACCTGGAACGCTCACTTGGAAAAAGTTTCACACAAAGCTAGACTGTCCCTATGGACATGTAGAAGGATTTGTGGTAAAATTTGGCGTTCAGGTGCCAAACAAATCCATGGGATTTGCCTGCTAAACAAAGGATACCCCTGAATATGCTAATATTTATATTTAAAATTAAACACAATATGTTGCCAGCTAACCTATACAAGTAGTATTCATACACACTCCACAAGAAATAGAATAGGAAATTTTTATAACAACAGAGAACATATAGGTTGTGACTCGTTGTATAGTTCTGGTCTGATTGCATTTAATAATTTGCCAAGTCATATAAAAAGCTGTGATTCATTAAACTCATTAAAAAGAAAATATAGTAAATATATTTCAATAGTCATCAATAATTCGTTTTATTTTCCAGTTTCTTGTTTTTAAAATGTGGCTTGTCTCCATTTTTATATATTTTTTTGTTTTGTATTTTATAAGTGACTGACTGTACTATGAAGAGCATTATCTGCTAATAAAGAGTAGTAATAATAATTTATGTGATGATTGTCATACTAATGATCACTTATGGTGCAATCGCCTGATGTCCGAAGGCTTTACAGAAAACGGCCCAGACGGAGCTCTCTGACAGGCTTGTCTGACCATCAGTATCACACCGTCAGTGGCCATAGAGATCTTTCTAGATCTACCTCCTTTCCAGATTTTTCTGAAGAGAGAGGCTAGAAGGTCTGCATATAGACTTGTGCACATTGCCAATTGCACCAATCAATTTAATGCAACAGACTGTTGGTTGATACTGGAAGTCACAGCTTTCTGGAAATGACCTCTGACTTTATGCCTCCAACTGTCAACTACGAACTGTCTTATAAAGTACTGTTCCCGAGTAGAGAGGACTGGATCCTCCGGTAGAAGGAAATATTAGGAGCAGATAGTTGTTGGTTCACAGATGGATCAAAAACACCTTCCGGTTCCAGTGCAGGTGTTTTCAGTCGCAAACCCAGGAGCCTAGGAGCTGCCTAGGACCTGCCTAGGAGCCTATGCCTATGCGACTGTATTGTGTGCGGATAGATTGGAAGAATCCAACCTCATAGACAAGTCAATGAAAATATTCTCGGACGTCTAAATTGGTAGCAAA